ATATATAATCTAATCAACACTTTTGAATATAATATCATGTATATATATGCATATATATAAGATGCAATAATTTTGTCAAACTTTTACACTTATCTTTTCTTATTTATTATAGTAATATATATATGATACAAAACCTACCGTCAAAAGATTTGCTCATCTTTTTCTTTTTACAATAATATATATATATATATAAAGGTATGATTTGTTTTCAAACACCACTTGAGTAAGTTTCACTTTGCATGCAAAATATAAATCAAATAATTTTGCTATATACCATTCATATTTTGTGTCAAATAATATGTATATTAAAAAAATCTAAATTGTTACAAATAATATTTTAGACATCATCAAAATTAAATAATATGATTAACACACCTTCATAGATTGCAACAATCATTCTAGTAAAAAAATTGAAGGCGACAATTACAGTAGTTTTGCCGATTCTAATGTACTCGTTTACAGCATCGGCAGGTATGCCATATTGCAAGATCCGAAGTGCAACAGTCATCTTCTGTATACCGGATAATCCAAGAGCACCAGTGATATCATGGGTTTGGATGAAGTACTCATTCACTTGATGAATATCATGTAAGATACTAAGAAATAATGACTGTCTCATTTGAAAACGTTTTCGGAAGTATTCATCTAGGTAAATAGGATTATTTGCAAAGTAATCTCTATGTATTAATGACCACTTGTGGAACCAATATGTCTGGTTGGTTGGTTTTACGGTTAATGCTTGTATTATTTGTTGTTGCGCTGTTAATAGTTATATCATGATTATATCATCATCAGATAATGAAGATTCATCAAAATCTCCATTGAAGATGGCTTTAGCGAAATTGTTCATTATGGGTGGGTGGGTGAGTATGTGAATATGAAAATTATAGAAAATCTTGTAGATAGGTACAGAGAGTTTAGAAGATATGAAACTTATGGGTAGGTGAATATGAACATTGTAGAAAACCTTGTGTTATATTTATATAGAAAATTATGGATGGGTAAATGATGGATGGTTGTTAGTGGGTGATTGTTGGTGGATGAATGGTGGATGAATAATGGATGATTGTTGGTGAATGAATGTTGGGTGAATGATGGATGATTGTTGGTGGGTGTTTGTTGGTGAATGAATACTGGGTGAATAATGGATGGTTGTTGGTAAGTGAATGGTGGATGAATAATGGATGATTGTTGGGTGGGTGGTTGTTGGTATGTGAATGGTGGATGAATAATAGATGGTTGTTGGGTGGGTGGTTGTTGGTATGTGAATGATGGATGAATAACGGTTGTTGTGTGGGTGGTTGTTGGTGAATGAATGTTGGGTGAATGATGGATGATTATTGGTAGGTAATTGGTGATTGTTTATTTTTTATATGTAGTTAAATTTGTTTTTTTATTTTTTTTTATTTTTATTAGTTAGATAAAAAAAAATAGCACTATTCATTGCCAAATTATAGCAATAACAATGCTATTTTAGCAAACATCATTGGAGATGCTCTAACCTTCATCTTTCATTTCTCTTTCTTTCATGGCAATAGTTCTTACAAGAAAAGAGGTTGCGTAGAGAAGAGAAAGGCATTAGCAATGCGAGGAAAGGTAAGAGAGGACTTGTGGTGGTGGAAAGTGAAGAAAGCTTTGGTGGTGGCAATGAGAGGTGGACGACAGAGTTAGGATGATGAGAGTAAAAGAAGAAGAGAAAGTGTATAGGAGAGGCAAAAGACCTATGCAGTGTATAGCAATAGTGGAGGAGGCAGAGGAGGGCATGTTGGTATTGGACAACATTGCGTCGAATTAGAGTTTGCAGTGGTAGAAAGAGATAAAAGGGAGAAAAGACAGTTTGGGGCAATTTTTTAATTGCATCCGTGAGTTTGCAACCAAAAAACGATGTGTATTAGTTTGGATGTTAAGTCAAAATAATTTAAATTCTCCCCTCGTTTGTAATTATTTTTATTTCTTACTATTTTTCTATCGTTTTTCCAATAACATTTTAGTTTTAGTTGTAAAGAGAAAAATAATACCAGTCTCATAAAAAAATTATGAGGTTATTTTTTGATGGAGCAAAGTTTTCATTAATATGAAATTATTTTGGGTAAATTACACTGACCTCCCCTGAGGTTTATCTTAATTACAGGTACCTTCCCTATAGTTTCAAAAATTACACTGACTCCCTTACTTTTGAAAATAATACACAGATTCCTCCTTCCCGTTAAAAGAGCATAAACGACGTTAACTTGACAGCCGAATTGACCATAAATGCCCTCGAACCACATTGTGAAAAGACACAATTGACCCTTTGCCATTTTCATCTTCTCCATCTTCACAAACCCTTCTCCCAATACCTTAATGGCAGAAAACCATCTCTGCATTTTCACTCGAAGAAAACCCATTCCCATTCACAAACCTAGAATCAAGATTAGGGTAAGAATTCCCATCAGTCTTGCCTAAACTCTTTGATCTAATTTTAGTAGGAATTGAATATCTGTTATTGAATTTCTTTGCCCTAAACCCATGAGGTACCAAATCTTTGATCAATTAGGAATTTTATGTTAAACCCACCATCTGAATCAAAATTAGATCCAAAATTCCCATGAATCTTCTCAAAATTCTTGCTTCTAATTCAGCCTTGAAAATCAGTATCATCCCCAACATCTTCATCAGATCCTTCATCCAAATACGATGAATACCTATTCAAAATCGTAGAACCGCAATTAGGGTTAGAATTCGCATCAATCTTGCTACAATTCTTCGCCCTAAGCCCTAAAATCACCGAGAGAAGAATCGGCCAGGGAAAAAGAGAGATCACTATTTCTCAGTCCGGTACTTCTAGCGGAGCTTCTCAATCTTGTAGCGGCACTGGGTGGAGGTTTTGGAAGGGGAGGCATCCGGCAACGGCGGCTATTGTGTCCCAGTCGGCCGTCCGAAGGTAGCCTCGCCGAAGAGCATACCACCGCTCGCGGTAGACGTCGATCAAAACTAGGGTTTTCTCTTGGGTCCAACGCGGTGGCGAAAACTTCTGAGAAGAGAGAGAGAGAGAGAGAGAGAGAGAGAGAGATAAGATAGCACAGAGAGATGAAAGAGATATAGTGAGAGGGAGAGAGGCAAAGCACAGAGAGAGAGTGAGAGGGAAGAGAGATAGAATATGTGTTTATATATATATATCAGTAAATTACACTTACCTTCCCTGAAGGATAGTATTGGAATGTAAAGAATAATTATGGATGACATCAACATAATCTATTTGAATTTGGATGGATGGGTAACAGAAAGGGGTCTTTGTATATTAATTTCAAAAGTAAGGAAGGTATGTGTTATTTTTGAAACCACAGAAGAGGTACCTGTAATTAAGGCAAACCTTAGGGGAGGTTAACGTAATTTACCCAATTATTTTCCTTCAATTAAAAAAGGAGATGCTATCATGTACACTCTAAAAAAACTGCATATAATATGCATTCCATAATTTTTTCACAAAATTTCATAATTTAAATATAAAACATCATAACTTTTCACTACAAAAGTCATTACTTTTTTATTATAAAATGTAATAACAAAAATTACAAAGTGTCATAACAAAATTACAAAATACCATAACAAAAATCACAAAGTGTCTTAACATTATCATCACTAACTTTAGGGCGCATACCATAAAATCATTATTTATAAATTTTACGAAAAAATTCATAACACATATCACAAATAATTATAACTTTCTTACAATGTGCACATTATATTTCTTCATTAAAAAATGATATTTTCTCTATATTTTAATGGCATAGCCAATATGCACATTACGCATGTTATCATTTTGAAATAACCATTTAATCTTCTGAATTATGAATTAAAATACATCACTAACTTTGGTTAACATATTTGTAAATTAATCTAAATATGCTTTTTTCTACTTTTGAATTAAATCATTCCTTTTATCCCATACACTTTCCATCAATTTTTATGATACATTTTTGTTCATAAATCATAGGGGTTAATTTTTTTTTTTATTTTCTTTCAAATGACACAAGTAATATGTAGTACAGGTTGAGGTAAGGCCCCCAACAAACAAGACCTCAACATGTAGTATATATACCAAATAGGTAAAATAAAATTTGCTCCCAAAAAAATCTCTTAAATTTTTATTTTTATTTTTATTTTTGTTCTCTCTCTCTCTCGATAAACATTATTCACCTTGTTTCATTTTAATTTTCTAAAAATTGAGTATTTTTATTTTTAGAAATTTTTTTAATATTTTAAGTAATTTCTTTCCTTTTTAAATACACTTAACATAAATACAATTAAAACATATACTATTTGTGATTTTTTTTAAAAAATCACTAAATATTTCAGTTGAACAATGTTGCTTACCTAATGAATCACAATGATTTGGATGTGAGTGAGAAGAAAAGTAGAGAAACTCATCCAGAGAAATTTGGTCCAGAGAAATTTCTCTGAGCCAGAATTTCTCTGACCAATTTTCTCTGCACTGAAATTTCTCTGGACCAATTTTCTCTGGACTGAAATTTCTCTGGACTGAAATTTCTCTAGATCAAGGTTGAGGGACCTTAGATATTATGAAAATATTATTGAGGGACCTTAGACATTATGAAAATATTTGATGTCCTTTATGCTATAAAATCATAATACCAGGGACCTTAAAAAAAAAAAACCCCTTTTTTAAAAAATCACTAAATATCAAAAATAAAAATCAAAAATCAAAAATTCAACACATTTTGTATTCTTGTGTATTTATTGATTTTTTTTTAAATTAATTTTTTATTTTTATTTTTATTTGTTAGGTATATCTAAGTTAAGAACATCTAAAAAATAAAAAATTCACTAAAAATATAAAAAATACAAAATAAAAAAAAAATCAATTTTCAAAAAATTGAATTTAAAAAATCAGAATCAAAATTTCCCCAGAAACTGTTTCTGTTGTTTGACCGAACCGTGATGCCCAGATTCATCCATGCAACAGTGAACTTCAATTTTGCCATAATAAAAGGAGCATATGCAACACAAACAAATAAATTTGTATAGTCTCTTACATAAAAATGACCTAACATTCACATACAGCTTCAGGTGATACCACACACAAACAAAAATACAAAGATATAATCAGATTCAAGCAATCAATAGCTTCAAAAGATGTTTAGAACACATGTGGTGCCTAGAAAGAATGCTGACAAAAACAGTTGCTTCACAAAACAGAAATAAAATCAAACACATGGCTTGTTGTGATCTCCAATAACAGAGATTAAAACAAGTCTCCTCCTTTATATGCCACTTCGCCAAGAGAAAAATCTGGTACAGTTGGTTTTATTTTTCCCGACACATTTATATTAAGCAGGCAGGTGATAAACTTATTTAGTCCACCAATGAAGGAAATCCTTGCGCCTATTGATCTTTTTCTGCAGCTGGAGGATTCCATAAAGCAAGGCTTCAGCGGTGGGTGGGCAACCCGGGACATAAATGTCAACTGGGACAATTCTGTCACAACCCCGAACGACAGAGTATGAATAATGGTAGTACCCACCACCGTTTGCACAGCTTCCCATAGAAATGACCCATCTTGGCTCGGGCATTTGATCATACACCCTGCAATTAGTTTTCAACATGAACGGTGGTCAAAAACTTAGCCTCCCAAGTATATACTGATACTACATTATGATGGAAGCAGTTAATATATATAGATAGATAATAGATATATAAATGCCACACCAAGCCAATCTGTTACAAAAACTGAACTTCCCATTTATGTTTGTGTCTTCTTGGCACAACTTCTTTAAACAAAAGTGACAAAACCCAAATTTAGAATCTCTCATCCAAAACATCATAGCTGCGAAATGTAGCACACAAGATTGATTGTTTTGAAGGTAGTAACTTGAGGGTGCACTAAAATGTCATGTCAGTTTTGGATTCACAATAGCACCTTTTGCAGTCTGTACAATTAAACATAAATCGGATAATCAACAACAACAACATGAAAAGCAATATCCCTTGAAAGGTCAATTTGCATTGGAAGTGACCTGCTTTAGCATGGTTGTAAATGAAGCCAGGATAGGGTACACTCATTCCAATCCATATGAAAAGTCCCATAATTCCTTCAAGATATACAGGTTTGACCTTTCAAACAACATTGTTTATAAACTACTTGCAAGTCCAAAGCTTCAATACAAATTATTGCCACCAAAACCAAAACCAAAATCACTAACATGGTCTTGGCACGAAAAATGAACGTCACTATTTTATAATACTGTTGGCTACAACTCGAGTTACGAATGCCACTGCATCATGATATGTGACTAGGGCTGCAAATGAGACAAGTCATGTCGAGCTTTGGACTGTTTACCCTTGGGTCGCTAAAGATTAGTTGAGTCGAGCTCAAGCCCGGCTCGTCCGGTGTTTGATGAGCTCCAGCTCAGCTCAACTCAACTAAATTCATGTACTGACTTTCCTGCCTTCTAATTCATTATGGAGTGACTGGGAGATGGTCTTTTTTTTTTTTTTTGGTCTTTACCTATTATAAATTATCAACTTTCAGTTTAGAATTATGAAAAATGGACACCTCTCTAAAGGTCATGTGTCGGACACGGGCATGCTCCGAACACATGTCAGACATGCTGGAAACACTTGAGACATATTGCGGACACGTTGGGGCACGCTAGGGGATACAAGGGCACATTTTTTGTTTTTTATAATCTAAATGACATGCCCAAAGGTTGATGAATTTGATGAGAATAAATATTTGACATAGAATAAATATATAATATTTAAAAATAAGACAGTAAATTCATAAAATTTGCACATGTGGTCGTGTCCTGCATTTTTTCAAATTTTGAGTGTACGTGTGAACGTGTCATGTAATGTGTTCATATTCTAACAAGGTCCAGAGGAAGCTGTAGGAACCAAACCCAAAGAACTAAACAGATTTGTCTTTATTTTTGCATACGGTTGAGAGCAGCATGTACTGTGGGAACATTCTTGCACACAACATTTTCATCTATTTTCTGTGTGTGTGTGTGTGTGAGAGAGAGAGAGAGAGAGAGAGAGTCGGTAGTGGATTTTTCTAATATATTTGTATTGCATGATAAACCGAACCAAGCCAAACCTTAAGTCCCATCAAATGGGGTTGGCTACATGAATATTTGTATTTCCAAATTCCAAATACACACTAAAAAAAAAAGAGTTCCAAATAGACACAGATATTAACAAAATTTACAAATCATTGTATGATTACAAAACCCAGTTTCAAGTCAGAAATAAATATAAAACCATTTCGTTTAGAAAAAAAAAACAATAAAAATTAGACAATCAAGATTCTCTTATTAATTCAAATCAATGAAACACTTTGTATATCATGAAAACAAACAAGATCAAAATCAAATAAGAAACGAAACTTCCTACATACACATATATTGATGCATATATATACACACACAAAAATTAAAATTGGTTATGTACATAGATAGATAAAACCTGTACATACATAGATAAAACCTTTATGAAGAAAAAAAACACAATAGAAAGCACAATCATCAAATTTATGTTGTAGATCATTACTTTAGAAGAGAAAAAGATGAAGACCTTTCCAACACCTTCATCAAATTGCTCTCCACACGTTTTATTTTGGAAATAAATAAACTATAGCCTATAGGTAACAACAGTACTTTTCAAAATCAAGCGGAGGCAATTGCCCCCACTTGCCTCCTCTCCCTTGAATCTACTTTGTTCCTACCCTTCATCCACATGACCTAAGAATTTTTCATAGTCAAAAGCATCTAAGATAAAAATAAAAATCGATAAATAAAAATAAAAAACGTCAAATCAAAACAATAACTAACTGAAGGACTGACTCTAACAAAACATAAACAATGCAGAAAGTAATGGAAGTTTCAGGTCATTGAGTAATGAACTAACAAAATCAATAAAACCTAAGATATGCATTCAGCTAAATTGAGCTGCATTTTCATTCCCATATCTTTCTCAGGGAAATAAAAAAGCAGAAAGTTCACTTGATTCTATACTCAGGGAAATGGGAGAAACTGAGACAAAGCAAATTTAATGACATCAAAACCAAAAACAAATTCAGATATGAAATTCCTAAACTCCCTAATGCAAGAGAAATGTAGTGGAGAAAATTGAAACAAACTTAACAACTAGAAAACCACAAATTCCAAACACAGTGAAGAGAGAATACAAATCAAATCAGTAATCACAAAACCCCAAAAAATTGCACACAAACGAGAGAAAATATAATAGCAATCAATCACCAACAAACTCTATGCATAATAAAATATATAATACACGCTTATAAACAGAGAGATAACCCAAAAAGAAATGTCTCTTTATCATTCGGGGAAAAAAATAAGGATAGCAAATTCATTTGGATCGTGTGGTGAGGTCAGAAAAGAAATGATTGTGATTACTCAAGTAGATGAGAAAAAATGAAAAGAAATGATTATGGTAGCTTGGATGAATAAAAGAGAAGAGGCTGTGTTTCTCACCTATCTTGTTTGGATAGTGTAAATAAGAGAAAAGTAAGGAAAGTGTTGCATTTCATTTTACCAAAATAACCTTTTACATTAATAAGCTATGTTTTTTCATAAGGTAATTTAAATATTTTAGAAAACCTTTTATACTCAACTCTTTTCTCACCAAATCTCACCGCTTTTAGTAACAAACAAAACATACGTTTCGTGAGGATCCTTTTTCTCACCATCTCTCGTCATTTCTCACCATTTTTCACCTACTTAACCATCCAAACACTTGAAAGGGTTTCCTATTCTCACCATTTTTTCACCAAACCCCTCCATCCAAACAGAGCACCATAGCTGACGATAGTTCTAGAATATATATTTTTGTTTCCTACTCGCACCAGCTCATATCCTTGCTTGTACTATCCATCTCTATGTCTAATTCTGATCTTCCTCACCATTTTGATAAGAGATATTATAGTGGGTATAGACCAAAAATCCGTTGTGATCCAATTTTGATCCATAACACCTATCAAAACTCGTGTTTTTATTAACTAACAACTCATGTACTTTGTTGACACTAAAAAAAATTTCAACGCAACAATTAGAAAACCCTAAAACACCTTATACACCAAATTGTAAAAAAAATTCATTCACCACAACAATTATCCCCAACTGTGAATACTACAAATACATATACAAACACATACAAAAGGATATATATACACATATGGAGAGAGAGAGAGAGAGAGAGGACGTACTTGCGAAGAGCGGGGGCCATCTTGTTGGTGAGAGTGCCAGCGACGATCATACAATCGGACTGCCTAGGGCTCGGCCTGAAGATGACACCAAACCGATCCAAATCGTAGCGAGCAGCACCGGTATGCATCATTTCGACGGCGCAGCAAGCGAGACCGAAGGTCATGGGCCAGATGGAGCCGCGGCGAGCCCAATTCATCAGATCGTCGACTTTCGAGATCACGAACTCGGCCGCCTTCGACATCCCCCCCGGCGACGTCATCGACGGAGGCGGAGGGCGGGAGTAGGGCGTGGGCTGCGACGGCGACGGCGACGGCGATGGCGGAGCCAGTGATGGAAGGGTTGTGTGGATCGTTGCTGATCTCTGTGATGCAACTAGGGCCATTCGATGTGAGTTTCGAGCTAGAAGAGCCATGGAGGTTGGTTGAACTTGCAGAGAGAGAGAGAGAGAGAAGGTTTTGTTGAAGAGAGAGAGAGTGATTCCAGGTTGTGTGGAGGAGTTCCAGTGTGTGGAAGGAAGCATGAGGTGGTTCTTCTCGCTCCGTCCGTTTGGTTTGGTTTGGTTTGGTATGGTATAGGCCCAGTTTAACTCAATATTGCCTTTTGGGCTCGAAACAATTATTCAACTGGCCTTGTATCACACATCAAGTTGTGGCAACGGTTTCAATAATTCAAATTGTCCATTTAGTAAGATTTTCAATATATATTATTTATGAAAAAAATTAAATCAATTTGATAATCGTAATTTTTTAATTTATCCTGTTTGTCTTAAAACAATGAACTAACAATTATATTTTAAAAATGAATCCTCCATTTTTTTAGAGAAACAAACGAAATAAAAAATTACAATTAATGGATCGATTCAATTTTTTTCATAGATAATATATAGGGAGGGTTTTACAATATGAACAGACCCACTGCCAAGTCCCTTTTTCCGGCCCCTCATCCTCAATTTTCTCCCTATGTATGAAAAATCCTTTCTATGTATATAATCTCATGATCAAAACCCAAGCTCAAGCCCAAGAGTTTGTTTGGTGAGCCATTTTGTTGGTTCAAGGTGGAAATCATCTTCTGCTCCAATAACTATTTTGACCCGTGGTGATCACAGGCCCAATTATATGGGCCAAGGGTCCAAAGCCCTCAAGTTTTTTTAAAGTTTATTGTTACCTTTATATTTCATAAGTATTTGTAAAATTTATAATGGGATGACTTCTTAATTTAATGAAAATCACTTTTCTAAGTCTTAATTTCATAAGTATTTTGTAGTGTATAATGAGATAATTTTCAGTTGTTTCAATTTCATTAAGACGATTTTATTTATACAAAAGATACATATTTCTTCTTCTTCTTTTTTAAAATTTAAAAATCAAAGAAGTATGTATGATTTTTATTTATTATATTATGTTAACCAACAAAGAGGCTTTAAATAGTTATCTAATTGATAATATATTAAAGTAGTTCAAAACTTAAAAAGAAAAAAAAAGAATTATTAGCTTTATTTATTTTTATTCTCACAAAATGTTTCTTTTAATCATTTATCTTAGCTTATGTAAGAAATTATCTTTGATTAATCATTTATCAAAACTAACTAATTATTTTTATGTTACATCTTGGTGCCACCCTTAGACAAAATTTATGGTTCCAACTGTAATGGTGATCAATTTTTAAGAGAATATCATCCAAGGATGTAGTGTCTCTAATTTTTAAGAGAAAAATGAGAAGGAAATAGAGAAAAACCTTAGCTTATATTTTATTAATATTTTTCTTTTTTTTCTTTTTAAATTTTATCCAAATCTATAATCCAAACACAACATACTCCCAAAAATCAAAAACAATTTTTTTTAAAGAAACTATTAGGTAAGATACAATGAACTTTTTATTCATGAATTGTTCATGGTACAAGAGAGAGTCATTTACTGGAATGTCATACTTAGGGATTATTTTCGAAAGATGGTTAAAAGTTATTTTCTAACTTTTAATCTATTTTGAGTCACATTATTTCTCACATTTTTATACATTTTTTATAAAAAGTCAAAAAAAATTTAAAAATCAACTTTTAACTATCTTATTAAAATAGACTTTATTTTATTTTAATTTTTAGTATATTGAAAAATTGAATATCATTCACTAAATACATGAGCACGCTAAGTACGCACACACGCCATGTTTGTTTGGTGGGGTAGGGGCCAAATTGAATTAGTTTAGGTGTGGGTTTCATTTATTCCTTGTTTGGTGGCATAAAGCTACATGTCTATATTCCTTGCAATGTTATTATCTTATTTTTTAGAGAATTATTCTTCACATGTGACTACTTCTTGTTTACACTTAAAAAACATTTTTTTTAAAGACATATTCTTCACATGTCACTTCTTGTTTACACTTAATTCTTTTTTTTTTCTCAAGACAATATGAAACCAAAGTGGAGTGTGTATAAAAATTCTCATATTTTATGGTCAAATGTTAAAGGCCGTACATTAAAATATGTTCTTTGAAATGAGACATCAAGGTCTATGAAATTCTAACAAGAAAAATAAATATAAAGAATGTGTATTTGTTTAATTTGAAGCTTTAACTTCAATTATAAAATTAGAGAAATATCAGTTGTGAATCAAAAATTAAAGAATTTGAATTAGCTTGTTTAAAATTTATTTTTAGTTGTCTACCCAAAATTTATATATGAATTCGTTAAATTTGAAATTCAAAGTTCAATGGCGAAGTTGAAGAAATCCCCAACCATCAATAAGAAAATGAAAGGCTTGGACGAAAGGGGTTGGGAGGAATGGTTCAATTCTCACCAAATTTTTTTTTTATTTTTTATTTTAATAATTAAAAATAGAGTATGTACTTTGTAAGAGGAGCTAATTTAAGCCCACTAAATTATTTAGGCCCAATAGCCCAAGATTAGTGGGCCCGAATTTATCGCAAGTCCAAGATTGGTGGGCTTGGATTTATCGCCGTCAAACGGGCTGAATGGCTCTAAGCCTCGAAAGGGTTCGGATCCACGAACCTAGAGACTTACTCGGGCCCGGACTCGAAAGGGTATTAAGCAAGCCTAGAGATCCGAGGCACTCGGACTCGAAAGGATTCGGATCCACGAATCTAGAGATCTGAAGTACTTGGCTTCGAACGGATTCAGACGCAATTTAGAAGTCGCTCCGTTAATGAGTCCCAGAACACTTGTGGACTCGGAGCTTTCCGGGATCTACGCACCAGAACCATGGGCGTAATGGAGTTCGAACAAAGGACCCGATCCCGAGGACGGTGAGTGGAGATAAATTCACTCCGCTCGAGCGGGGAAAGGGACGCTCGAGCGTGGATTGGAAGCTCTCAGCATCTCTGCAGTCGCCTGTAAAAATACTGGAATGTGTGATTTTACGCTCGAGCGGATGATCCTACGCTCGAGCGCATCTCAGTTTATTCACACGCAATTTTTGGTCAGTCCGCTCGAGCGGGCTGTGTTGAGCTCGAGCGGAGATCGCGGGACAGATTCTATAAATTCGCTTATTGGGTCAGATTTTGAGGATAACTACTCCAGATCTTCTTTTTGGTTTCTAGGGTTTATATCTGGGGACACTTTGGGAGTTTTTCTTTGATGTTTTTATTGAGTATTCAACTCATGATCTAAAGAGAGTACATCAAAGGTTTGTTTGTTATACACATAAGAGAGAGTTATTCTTCAGTTGTGGATTCTGAAGAATTCGAGCCTGAAGCTTTGGTGGAATCCGGAGTGGCTCATCAGAAAGACAATTCCGTGGTGAAGATGGGGTTGGAAGAGGCACATAAAGGTTGGTTCAATTAGGCGTTGTGGATTCGCTAGGTAATTGAGAGTATACCTGTGTAATTCCTTTAATTCTTCTTAGTGGATTGTTCTTGTGGCTGTTGCCCGTGGTTTTTTGATCACAGTTGGAGGTGTCCAATTGTGGTTTTTTCCACGTTAAATCACTGTGTCTCTTTGTCTTGATTGTTTGATTGGGATTGTTATATTCTGCTTAAAATTATTACATAATCACAAATCAACATCTAGGAGATTTCTAGATTTTTCAAACTTAATTCAACAAATAAACGTAGCCATAACCCAAACAAGTACTTTGAGGTTTTTAGTGGGGACGTATCATAATGAGGTCGAAGCCAAAAAGATCTTGAAAGTGATGTATGACCTATGCATAAAGCTACATGTCTATATTCCTTGCAATGTTATTATCTTATTTTTTAGAGAATTATTCTTCACATGTGACTACTTCTTGTTTACACTTAAAAAACATTTTTTTTAAAGACATATTCTTCACATGTCACTTCTTGTTTACACTTAATTCTTTTTTTTTTCTCAAGACAATATGAAACCAAAGTGGAGTGTGTATAAAAATTCTCATATTTTATGGTCAAATGTTAAAGGCCGTACATTAAAATATGTTCTTTTAAATGAGACTTCAAGGTCTATGAAATTCTAACAAGGAAAATAAATATAAAGAATAGGAAAATTGACTAGAAAATTCTTTTTTAAATATTTGTATCTTAATTAGTTTATAAGATATTTTCATATTCTAATAAGTCATATTATTTGAACATTTGATTTACTAAATCCTAATTCTCATATTTAAAATATTTTATGGATATTTCTACCCTTATGAATATTTTTTAAACGATTAGTAATTTAGTGATGTGAACATTCATATTTTACAATATAAATATTCACATTGACAGTGTGAATATTCACATTGACATATTAACATTCACATTGATAGTGTGAACATTCACATCACGGAACATTCACACTGTAAATGTAAATATTATTAGGGATATTTTGATAACTATATCACTCATAGGACTTATTGTAATATAAGAAATAATATGGACTAGATGGAATATAAGTAGGTGAAAATTGATCTATGAAAAAGCGCCCCTAAAGAATATGTATTTGTTTAATTTGAAGCTTTAACTTCAATTGTAAAATTAGAGAAATATCAGTTGTCAATCAAAAATTAAAGAATTTAAATTGGCTTGTTTCAAATTTTATTTTTAGTTGTCTACCCAAAATTGAAATATGAATTCATTAAATTTGAAATTCGAAGTTCAACGGCAAAGTTGAAGAAATCCCCAACCATCAATCAAAAAATGGAAGGCTTGGATGAAAGGGGTTGGGAGTAGGGGTGGGCGTGGGTCGGTTGCGGCCACGGAACCTCCAATCCGCCATCCGTCCGCCAGATTGGCGGATTGGAGAAAATCAATCCGCATCCGTCCGCCAATCCGGCGGATGTGGATTGAGCGGATTGGCGGTTTGGCGGATGGATGCGAATCGGTTTGGCGGTTTAAAATTTTACAAATTTTCAACATAATTCAACTTGTGCACTTTCTCAAAAAAAAAAAAAAAAGAAGATAATATTACAATCAATGACTTAAAAAAATATTACAATTACTGTATGCCTTATCTAAAGAAAGAAAGTTTAAAACTTTAGAATATCACGATCACTGCATGCCTTATCCACATATTATAATCACAGCATGATT